AGAACCCCCCACAAGCTCAGACTGGACCCTCAGAACCCCCCACAAGCTCAGACTGGACCCTCAGAACCTCCCATATACTCACACTGGACTCTCACAACCCCCCACAAACTAACAATGGACCCTCAGAACCCCTCACAAGCTCAGACTGGAACCTCAGAACCTCCCATAAACTCACACTGGACTCTCGGAACCCCCCACAAGCTCAGACTGGACCTCCAGAACCCCCCACACACTCAGACTGGCTATGATATGGGCTACTGTGCCAAGCCCAGGACCAAACCAACTCTGGTCCTTTATTAATGGGTCGGAACCTCTCCACTCAACTCATAGCAGAATCTGCAGAGATACCAGGAGGTCCTTTTGATACCTGAAGTAGATCCAAGCAGCCTGGGGCTGACTGGGCTTTCCTCTCCTTCCTTCTCTGCTTCTAGATGTTTCCTGGTTAGGATCGAGATGGTGAAGCGTCTAATTAATGGTGCTCTGTGTTTGTTTTCTCCTGACAGTCTCAAAGGAAGCTCCCAGCTGGTCGTGAGCTCAGAGGTAGGCTCAGCAACGTTCTCCTGACCACTGGCTGCTCGGTTAGCTGTTTTACTTTGGAAGTGAGAGTAGAACCATGATTTGGCTGAATGGGTTCTGACCCAAGAAGCTTAGCAAAGAGTCACCCTGACGAAGTCGGGAGACCATCTTCATTTAAACCTAACCAGCAAATGGGCCAGGTCAGAACCCAGCCGCCCAGGAAGGCGCAAAGGAGATTCCCTGGTCCTCCGACAAACTAAAGAGCTGACCGAGCAGCCTCCAACATGGCCTCCCAGATCTCTGTCACCCGAAATAATCCTGTCTTTCTTTGTAAACGTAGAAAGATGGAAAGAAGGACAAAGCGGCTGTGGATAAAGTCTTCTTTTTCCGGATCCTTCGAATTCTGCGCATCATGGTTCCCCGGTTCTTCTGCATGGAGGTAAGTCTTTATGACAACAGGCTGCTCTGATGGTTTTAACTTAGTTTTAGTTTGTAGCTTGTTGAAAACCTGACGATGGCAGCATAGAATGGAGTCACTTGGATAAAAGCTGTTTACTCATTTCCTAAAGAGGTTTTTATTCTAGATCTAGTTGATATCAGAATCAGAATCAGAAATACTTTAATAATCCCAGAGGGAAATTACTTTTGTTACATGCTCTAGTTACAGTTTTACATGATATTTACACACATCCAACTATACAATATAATAAAGATAAAAAATAAGAATAAAAAGAGATAAAATATATATACACATATTGCTCTTCTATATATATATATATATATATCTGTACGTATATCTATGTATATGTAAAACCTAAATCCAAATAGAGTGGAAAGTCCAATTAAAGTGAATAAAACATATAGATGAGAACTGGGGGTAAGGACTTACTCTATATTAAGAACAGTGGTGTCATATTACTGGATCAGACTGTCCTTGATGTCCTCATGGCTGTACAGATAATATCGCCCTTTGACCCAGAAACGCTAGCTTCATCGCTGCAGCGCTTATCTGAAGGCGAGGCTGGATTCTACCTGGGCCAAGGTTAGAGAGATAAAGGAACTGTATACTGCCCTCACCGTTCTGCTTCTCCTCCACAGACCGCCTACCTCCTCCTCATTGCCAGCATGTTGGTGGCCAGGACCTACTGCGATGTGTGGATGATCCAAAACGGTACCATGATTGAAAGGTCAGCGTGACTTGGACCTTGAGCTTCCAGGTTAACCTGCAGTGGAGTCAGACCCTCAGCAGCCCCCTGTATAGGATTCCCTGTGGCGGCCCCTCGCTTCCCTAAAGAGAAACATCTGATTTTAGGGATCTATGTTTGTTCTTATTTGAGGGTGCTCGCGGTTCTACAAGTTGAAACTAGATACTGAACATATGCAGCACAGTTTTTCATACCATGGACATAAAAATAATGCATAAATGTTTTTATCTTTATTAAAAGATCAACTGTTTCAGTGAGGCAGAGAACAACACATGGAGGTTAAATTAGAGAGCTAGAAAACAAATGTAATTCAGAAGAATTTAAGGCTGTCTGAGGTGTTATTGGTAGAGTTGAGCTTCTAGGGACATTGGTCACAAAAAACATAGGTAACTAACAACTGTTGTTCACTAACATTTATCGATCACTACAAACCACTTGCCACCATAAACCATCGTTCACTAAAGATAATCTGTCAACAACCATTTTTAACTAAAACCATGGGTCACTAAAAACAATCTGTCATTAACAACCATCGGTAACTGAAACCATGGGTTACTAAAGACCATCTCTCACTAATGACCATCTGTCACTAAAATCATCGTAAC